ATTTCAGCACAAAAGCTTTCCTGTGGCTACACATTCCATATTCAGGCGCTCCACAGCTAAGGTTTGTTTGTAATGTAGGTTCCTTGTTGTTGCTGTGGTTTGCCGTTTGTTGGCATTTTTGGCTCTCGCAGACGACTCTGTGTTTCCAGAGTTCGTTATGGCTCAGAGCAGCATGCGCTCTCTTGTTTACCGATCATACTCCGATTCCAAAACAAAGCAGGACGAACGGTCCTCCAGTTTCAGCCTCAATTACCGGCAGTTAACAACAGATGAAGGTAGTAAAGTCTGAATGTCATCTGGGACAGCTTCCTGTTTTATAGTTTCTCTTTCACAAGCATTTTATAAAATGCCAAGAATGCAGGCGTCAACCTTGTTACCGAAAATGTTCCTGGTCCTTTAGATGGCTTGTTACATGTATGCTACAAATCCATCTGCTCAAATCTCCTGACTTCTTTTATGTTTCAGTTCATGTATAAGTAAAAAGTTTAACGAGTCATATTTAGTTAGATACTTTATTGATCCTACAAGGGAAATTAAAGCAATGACAAAATGCATAGCAGGAACATGTTTCATGTCCACCAACAGAAAGGTCAAAAGGTTGAACCTGCATGTCAGTCGTCCTCGTCATTATAAAGCTTGTGTAATTAAAATTCTTATTTCTAAACAAGATGCACTTACCTATATTGGGATGATTCAAGATCTTCATTATTCTAACTTCTCTGAAGAGCTGAAAATTAGAAAAATTCAGAGTTTAGACTTCAGCATATAGACAGCAAATAGTCTACTGAGCAACAAACCACATTATTCAACCTCAGAAGATAAAAACCACAATAATAAAAGCTGCTGTATGTCTTTGAGCACTGAGCACTTTCATGAGGGAGTCAGCATGAAGTCAGACTATCCCAGTGGACTGTATGAGTTAACCTGTCCCTTTTCTTCATGACAAAACAACGGCAAAGCAAAGAAAACAGAAGCTTCATGTCAAAGTGTTTCAGTGCAAATGCTTTTTTAAAGAAATATTTTTAGATAGCAGGCTACAGACATGCCATATCATTACACAGGAGGAGGAGATAAACACATTCTGAATAAACTTTGAAAAACATTTGCAATGTTTTTCCTCGGCTGATTGCTTCGGGGAGGCAGGAGGTTTTACATGAACCAATCAAAAGCTTCCATGCAACCTGTCCAACTGCAGTCACAGACTGCCTGTCTTATGTCAGAGAGCATAGCACTTGTTTGGGAGCTTTTGCTACACTTACAGTAGGCTAATGAGTTCTCAACAACACAAGTACGCCATCTTGTCTTCTACCTGTCTTTACTCAACGTTATGCTGTGTGCAATGCTCCACCCCCCCGACACACACAGACACACACACACACAGACACACGACAACAGCATTAGAGTTAGATCATGAGGACAAACTAGTGCAACTACATGATTATCAGGAGATGCCCAAACATATTTGGGCATAGGTTTAAGAGATGTGGCTCACTGGTTTTGTTCATATAGTGAGGGGTGAAAGGCTCCGAAAGCCCCCCCAAACTATGCATTAATACATTTTTAAGAACACATTCTCAAAATGTGTGACCATTCTTAATATATTAAGACTTTTTAAAACTATTATTAACACTGCTTTCCTGAGTGCTAACATGGCATTTCAGGCTCTGGTCTCTACTAAACATCCTCAGCATATTTGTCAAAGAAATGTGATCATTATGTCGCTGCTGCTGACACAGTGACAGGATTACAGGAAATTCTGCAACATAGTGGTGGTTTCAGAGCCACTGACGGGCAAAGGTAATCTAAACTAAGTTCAACATGTGGTGTCAGATCTCCATCCCTCAGAAAAGGAAGACACTTAGCTGACACGCTTCCTCATTATGCTTCAGAGTGACCAGACAAGGAGATCTTTAGTGGCCAAAAATCCTTTTTAGTGTTTCGCTTTAGGAGGCATAAAGAGCACCACATGGGATTTATTATTGAGCTGCTGTAAACTACACCTCACTTTCTTCTCTTCCATAAAAATATAAAACAAGGTATCAATCTTTCATGAGGCAGGAGAAGTCCCAATGTGCTGGTTAGCTTGCTGACAAACAGATCTTGGACAGCCCGAAAACACAAAAAATCTTCAATCAAATGAAGAAGTACAAGTTTCAGGAAAGATTTATCCACTGCGTTTAGATTTTTTGGCTAAAAAGTGGAAACCTATAAAACATTCATCACATAAAACGGTCATCTTTTCCATAAATGAAGAAATGTTTCAGCAGCACCATAAAGGATCCTTTATAGCATCACTTTTGCTGAAAGTGCAACTAAAATGTCTGAGTTAATAAATTTGTCTGAAATTGCACATTTCCCATATTTATCCTTTGACTACTGAACTGTTCTGTTGTTGTGCTGCCAAGTCTGTGAAATATCACAAACTGTCACAAGTTAAACGTTTCAAGCTGTAGCACCAGTGTTTGTCCATAAGAATATTTACACTGTTAATCTTATCTGCTGATCAATAAACAAACTTCAGCAGAATTTGACTGAAACGATCAATTGCTTCTTCTTCGTGGCTTTGACTCATTTGTCTCTAAAGTTTCGTCTGTTTGCTCAGCAGAGGGGGAAAACGACTGTAGCGACCGACAAAGGGTCACAGACTGATTCAAACTCACAGATCCACCTGCACAGCCTGATAACACTTTCTGTCCTGAACCCTGGACTGCTGCTGTCTGCCTGACATGCAAACAGATGGTTAGAAATAGCAGGTGTTGTGTTCATAATCAGTATGTATACAACAATTCCCTCTGCATCTAGTACTCTTCCGATCTCCACCTTTTTTCCTTGTGTAACATCCACAGAGGCAATGAAACATGATATATATGAACCAGGAAGTCCAGTTTGAAAACTGTAAGGTGACAAAACATGGTGCACCGTATCAATGACACCTATTGCATAGTTACCCATAGCAGCAGAATTTGTGACTGTAAAAATACATCATTCAGTCATTACAGTTTCTGCCACAAATGATCATTTCTGCGTCACAAGTCTAATATTTATCCAGTTGTTGAATAATTGACTATTATTAATCCTCTTAGTTCACAGAAAATGGAAACGCTCCAAGTACGGCTTTGTTAGAACTTCCCCTACAAGATTTCTTGGTTTTCCTTTCATATCTTGGACAATAAGATCTGAAATATTAATAAAGGTTTCTCACAGGTGACTACATAGTAGGTTCACTAATTATTTACATTTAAAAGGATTCGCTCTCTTTTTTGTCAGATTTCAGAAAGAATGCATTCAACTCTGCATCCCCTATACTTAAAAACAAACAAACAAACAAAAAACCCCAAAAACAAACAATTAACAGTAATTTTAAATGTTCAGATATGTAGAGAATTCCAGCCGTGGACAGTTGTTAACTTGGATAATAAGTTTCATGTAATTCCTTGCTCAGAGACAACTGAAGGGACTATTATGAACTCCAGTTAGTGAGGCCTTAAGGAGTTTTTTATTTTTTGAGAAGCCCCCCTCTAAATAAAAAAAAAAAAAGAAAAAGAAAGACTGATCCAGGAGTTGTCTGGCCTCTGACAAAAATGAGGAGAGGAAGAGGAGCACTGGAGTGAGCTTGAGGTCTCCTCACTGTCATTACACCCTGCTCTGCCCGTCATTATACTCAAAATACTCTCCTGAGCTCTCTGAAAGTACAGGGGAATAAATCTAAGCTGGTTTTCTGTGTGACAGTGGAAACCTCTTCACTGCAGCTCAGAGAGGAACTCTTTCCTTCTTACTGAAGAGAAGCTGCTGCAGCTTTGAACAACCTCATCAGTGACAGAGAAGCATCTCAATTTATCTTTTCTATCTGTGTAACTTTGTGAAGACTTCGGTACAAACTGTGCTGTCCTATATCGCATATACAAGCCTTCTGAAACTTGGGTGGGTTCTAAACACAACACGCCAACAAGAATACTTTGTCAGGTATGTTACGCAGTAAACAGAATTAGTGGAAAAACTCTGGAGAGACGGGGCTGATTCACCACATAATACAGCTATTAGGTCGAGGACTCAAACCTGCTGGTGATCCAGTCATACCGCTGCAATAATGCACAGCTGTCCTGATTACACAATCCATCTTATGATCGATACAAGGAACCTTTAGGCCACATGACACACAGTTCGAGGGTGAAGTCACACCTACAACTAGTTTTTGTCAGACTACATTTTTAGTTGCTGCATTTTCCTGTTTAGATTGAAACGGCCTCAATTAAAACAGATCTGAGGCCTGTAAACAAAATCTCACGGGTGCTACATTAGATCATTTACTGGATGTTTTCCTTATAAACTCTCATCCCACCAGGTTAGACGCTTTGAGCTGAGTCATATCAAATCAGATTACAGCCCCTGCAACTTCAGCTAAGAACGATGGATGTCTGTGCACTTTTTGCAGTAATCGACCCCGGCTGTTTGCTTCAGCTAAGAGAAAATATATCCCGACGGCAGTTTTCCTTTACTGTGTTTCGTTAAGTTCACCTCCTCAGTGGGCTTATTTTGTCCCTCCAAAGCTCCACCGTTATTGTTCTCATCCGGGCAAACAAATCAACCTGAAGGAATAACACTATGGTTCAAATTAATGGCTACTATCACACCATGTTTATGAGATTCAGAGAAGTCACCAGTGGTAAAAACAAACTTGAACGCTGGCTTCTCCAATTCTCTTTCCTTAGTCTCCATATAAAAGAAGGATGTAACAAACCAGTGGCTTATGTTGCGGTGGCTAAGGCCATTTTAAAGATTTAAAGTCAGCATTTTGGTCGTCACCATGTTGGTTCCTGGAGCCACGTGTGACCATATTTGGACATGAGTGTATAGTGTTAGGTTATTATTAAAATGAGCTGTATCTGTAGATGAAGTTTGGATCTACAAAAAATGGTTGATAAGTCTAGCTTCGCCCTTAAAACTACGTTTTAACATGGGAGTCTTTTGGTTCAATTTTGGAGCTACTTTTGAAAAACTTTATGTTTTACTTTTTGTTTCCATTTTAAATGGTAAACGGCCTGCATTTGTATAGCGCTTTACTTAGACCCCAAAGCGCTTTACACTACATTCAGTCACATTCACACACTGGTGATGGCAAGCTACATTGTAGCCACAGCTGCCCTGGGGCGCACTGACAGAGGCGAGGCTGCCGGACACTGGCGCCACCGGGCCCTCTGACCACCACCAGTAGGCAACGGGTGGAAGTGTCCTGCCCAAGGACAAGACCGGAACCGCCAACCTTCCGATTACAAGACGAACTGCCAACTCTTGAGCCACGATCGCCCCATTTTAACAGCTCCGAACATCTAAAACGATGTAAACATTTGAGTGACTAAGATAGTTTTGAGGATTGAAAACCTACAAATAAAACAATACTGGGAAAAAACTTTCTTCCCAGTAACTTTTTGAAGGCACTTCTTTCTCTCAAAAATGACATTTCTTACTTTTTTGATATTATAAGGTTTTGTTGTCAATGTTTTATGTGAACCAGTTTGATTCATACATTTGGCTCAAATTCTTTAACATCCAACTGATTCTTCTTCAGTGGCAGTAACTAAGTGTTACTGACAGCTCAGGAAACATTTCATGGAAAAAACGTCATGTTAAAAGCTTTTAATAACAATCCTCCAACCACTAAAGGCAAAAACAAACCTGACACTGGACGTTGTCACAGACTAAGCTTCTTACCAACACTGTTTACATTTAATCAAGACTTCCAAGCATCATACTCCCACCCTGACCCCTGACAAGGATAACAAGACCACCACAGCAGGTTGAATCAGGACAGAAAGACAAGAACAGAGCGGGAAGCTGGAAGCAGTTTGCCAGGAGCCGGTGACAGATGTGAATGTCGACTCATCTCCGCCAAACTATTAAGAACAGAGGCTGAAAATAAACATTTAGGCTTCAGAGACGATACACCCCCCTCCACCCCCACCGCTATCAGCCTCTCGCCAAGTCTTTCAGTTACATAAGAGGTCAGGACACAGCGGTGCTGGCTCTGATGCAGGTTGGCTGTTTCACCAGCACCAGCTCAAAGGTAAGACTTGTGCAAAGAAAAATAGAAGAGATCCAGACATTCAAAACCCATCTGAACCGAAAAACGTCATCACATTGACAAACTTGGAGCTGTGTGATGACAGTCGGCTATTAAAATACTCGAGTGATTCAGCTGGCATTTTTGGATATTTTTCTCATGATCAACAAAGCCAATGAAAATCTTCATCCAGGCTGTCTGTGGCTCTGTGCCCATTGGTTACTACTGCAGAAGTGAACACTTAAAAAACACAACTTTACTCTAATAAGCAAGTCCACAAAAACCATAACAAATTACATTAAACACTCATTTTCACAACTAAAATGCATCTCTTTAGCAGTGGATTCATCTTTGTGGCATTTTGTAATGTCATTGATATCATGCTCTCACATTCAGGAACTTTATTTTTCAGTCTGTGTATTTGATTAAGTTATCGGATGTTAGCAGTTCTTGAAAGAAACTCACTTATGACTCATCTACTGAAAAGAAGGAGCTGTGAAATAAAACTGCTGCGACTACAGCACAGGTGATGAGGATGTAACAGTACTTTTAGATGGATAGTCTTCAGGTTCCTGTCAGATGGACCGAGTCAGTTCTGAGATTAATGATGATGCTCCATTTAAATCGTCCTCTGGATTTTCAAAGAAATATCACTGTGAACTTTTACAGATACCTCCAACAGAGGTGCATTTTAAATGCAAATTTCTGGAGCAAAGTGCAACAAACCAGCTACAAAGTTGACACCATATTCTACTCTTTGTGATGTCCTGTGCAAATGCAGGCACAGTGCAGGGCAGGGATGGGCAACTCCAGGCCTCAAGGGCCGGTGTCCTGCAGGTTTTAGATGTGTCCTTCATCCAACACAGCTGATTTAAATGGCTAAATGACCTCCTCAACATGTCTTGAAGTTCTTCAGAGGCCTGGTAATGAACTAATCATTTGATTCAGGTGTGTTGACCCAGGGTGAGATCTAAAACCTGCAGGACACCAGCCCTTGAGGTCTGGAGTTCGACACCCCTGGTGTAGGCAATAATCCAAACAAGTCACGGTCATGTGCCTTTTCCACCCTTTTCCCAGCGTTGTTCCTTACAACATCGGTATGATTTTTTTGTGTGATATAGTGAATATCATTACTATAGCAATGCCATGTAATAACACTCCCTACAGTACATGACCAGACAAGCGCAGGCATGTCTGACAGGAAGAGCTGGGCATCAGCCTAGGATGACTTTTAGCTCCTAAAAACGAACTACTTCAGCAACCTCCAACAAAGCACAGTACTTATAGTTAAAGTTAACAAATTAGTTGTGTAGTACTACTATACAACAGAGGATATTCTGGCTCTTATGAAAGCCAGATATATTTATTAAAAAACAAAACAAACAAAAAAAACAATAACACCTTGATGACACACACACTGGCCAGTGACATAAACATGTACTGTATTTCTTAGTGCCCACCTACATCCCTGCTCGCTTGCTGCCAAAGAAACAGCCATCTGTTTCTGTAGGTGGTGTTAAGTCTAATGATCCACTAGGTTTTACTGTTTTTGAAGGATTGGTTAAAACAAACAAACAAAAAAATTCAATAATTACCTTTTCAAAGCCCTCGTCTTATGCAGTTGTGAGCTGGTTTACGAGTATGGTTACAACACAGTGGCTTAGTTTAGCTTAAGGACCAAAAGGAGAAAACAGCTATCCTTGCAACTACAAGGCCTGCTATGGCTCAATTAAATATATTCTAATTGTCTAATACATTAAAAGAAAAAAAAAAAAGAAAGGTCCTGTTAGCATGGAGCTGGCAGGAACTAGCATCTCCCCCATCCTCATTCTTTATGCTAAGTTATTGTATAAATGGCTGAGCTTCAAGTTTGCCAAAAGAGTTAGGGTTAGGCCAAAAATGATTCCTTTAACAGGAGTGGTCCTCCTTATTATGAATCTTGCTGGATTCATTTCTCACGCAATTACTGCTCCAATTATCTAGGCCAAGTCAGGATTTCCTTTAACTCTAAATCTCAAAATCAACAACAAAAAAAGAAGGTGAAAAAACGAGAAACTTAGCCTATAAATGGCATCAGGTGACAGGAATGAGAACATTTAATGTGTCAGTCATGAAAAGACTTTAAAAAGCCTTTAAATGTGGCTTCTTTTCCCAGCTTGTTCCAATTGCTTAAAATAAACAGTAAAAAAAAAAATAAATCTAAATCTCTTGTGGAACAGTAGGAAAAATAACTTGACAAGCACCTAAAAGAGTTTTTATTCTTGAGTGTGACAAAGCAGTAACCTAAAAACAACAAGGATTGCCAACAAAAGCCTCACGCTTTGTGTTTCTGTGAACAGCGCTGTCATGACTCAGTGTTTTTCTGTCAACGTAGTGTCACAGCCAACGCCAAAGGGCCCGGGCCTCTGAGATACAAAGGCCGCAATCAATGGAGCTTTGGAAAAACTGATGGAAAACCACTGGCCGACTGCTGAGAGGGATGAGGGAGAGAGGAGCCGAGCAGCAGGGTCCAGCTCAACATCAACACCCGACATCATAAGCGTCACCACCAGCTGCAGCCACATTGCTCCGCTTCATCCCCTCTTATCTGTCTAACGATGGGGGAGAAAAAAGAAAAAAGGGCCTCGGGAGCTGCAGCAGAGTCGATATCGTTCCGACTTCCCCGAAACCACTTCCAGAGACAGAACCAAAACGCACGGCGGCACAGATCAAAACGACCACGCACACACATTTCTACTGCTAACGATTAGAAACAAAAAAGGAAAAGGACAAACACTGCAACGGGCAGCTCACTCTCAACTCGCTGACTTCAAACTGTAAAGTTAGACTGCCATTCACTAAACTGCAAAAAAAAGGCATTCACCCTCAGCCTGTGAAATTTGCATTTTAAAAGAAAGCCCACTTCCTGATTTGGTTGATTTAACAAGGAAAACCAAACCGTGGCTCCCAAGTTCCATGACAACCATGCAGCATGAACTGGGAAAAGGTAGCAGGAGGAAAAAAAACTAACAAAAAAAAACTATGTTTGTTTCCAACAGATCAGGAAAACCACCATCTAAAAACCTTCAAATGGGACAAATCTACAGCTATATCTTATAAGCCTGTTAAAACAGTTCCACTAAGAATTCTTCAAGCAAATTCAAAAAGCAAAGAAAACAAGCCTCAACAAACCATACAATCCCTTTTTAAAGGCCTCAGTCTGAAACATGTATCAGGCAACTTGGAACAAAGTGATCTTTACTGCAGCAAAAGCCTTATACCTAATCATAAAAAGAAGCTCCTAATTCACCCCAGGAAGCTCTATGGAGAACATAGCTCAGTCTCAGAATGCCCTGCTTCCCATTTACACAATTAATACGCAATCTGTTGTGCTTCATGAATTAGTAAATGAGTTCTGCCACATTATAACAGGAGAGAGAGAGAGAGAAAGGGAAGGAGGGGTAAATTACCTTCTGAAGGCTGTTTGGGTTCAGCTGTGTCTTGTCTATTATTTTAATTGCCACCTGTAGAGAGGGAAAAAATAGAAAGTTAGCTAAGTGGCAAATAATAGCAGAGGAGAAGTGTGGCACAGAGGAAGAGGAACATGGCACCGAAAACAAAAACCAAAAACGAGAAAGAAAAGAGCTGAGAAAAGGAACGTGATGCTGATGTTTTTCCAAACTGCCGTTTTAAGACTTGAAAACTAAACAGAGAGGGTTATAAAATAGTTTCAACATCCTCTTTGAGTTAAAAATATGTCTAAATGCACCTGCCAAATTATTATCTACAGAACAGAGAGGACAAAGGCAGCAGAGACGCTTCCTTTCCTTAAATGTCACAGGCTGCATTAAGAAGAAGCTTGCCCTTTCTCCTCATCAATTATGAACAAATCAAATGTTCAGCTGCTACACACTGCACTGAAAACAACCATTACTGCCTACAAGATTTACAGCGATGAATGGGTTGGTGTACAAAGCTGGCAGCACTGCTTTTATGTTCCAAATGCCACTGTTTCAATAACATACACGTTTATGAAAAATGCATTTCAAGGCTCTAAATTGAAAAAACTAAAGCTAAAAGCAGTATTATAAATCAGGATCAATCTAACTGAAAAACAGGCAAGCAAAATTACAAATCTGACCAGACATTCAATGTTAGTGCTTGACAGTTTGTGAGACACTGCCACACACAAACACAGGTCACCATCAAAGAGGAACTGAGATACAAATTAGGTGTGAGCTCAGCAAAGACATCCAGCTCCTTAACCGCAGCTCTTTCGCAGCGTGAGGGAGAAGCAAACAGTGATAAAACGCCTTCAGAGAAAAGTATTTATCTGTAAAGCTTTGTATTGTTTTGGATCCTTTCTTAAAAAGAGAGAACAAAAATAGTCAGCCTCACTCTACATCTTACCTCTCTGCCGGTGAGCATGTGTCGGGCCAGTTTGACCTTGGCAAAGTTGCCCTTGCCAATGGTTTTGAGCAGCCGGTAGTTGCCTACGTGGGGCTGCTGCGGCTCCTCGGAGCTGCGGGCCGGACGCACGCCCGTCCGGCCTGGGCGTGTGCTGATCTCCTGACGGCCATTGCTGTGAGAGGTGTGCTGTGGAAAAGGCACAATGTTAGACAAGCACTGGCTGTTGAATGGCTCTTATGTGTTGCAACATCTACTTGTAATCAATGGTGACTCATGTTGACCTGCTGTGGCACCTCGGCTCAGCAGGAAAAAACACTACTGATATTTATAGTTCTGATGCACACAAAGAAAGTAAGCTTTTCTTCCAGCGGCCACAGATGGCTGATAAACTCTGTGCTATCCCAGCAGTTTCAGAGTTTCATCAACCAAACATCCAAAAGTATAGATATTCCCATGAACACCTACCTTGTCACGTTAAACAGGAAAATGTATTTAGGATAATAATAATAATAATTATAATTATAATTAGCTGAACAAGATCCAGCTAAATAATGTTAGTCAAATATTGTCCCACTAAATACTGTTTATATTGAAGTGACATTAGAATCCATTAATCGCATTTTTCAAAAAAAATAAATCAATTTCAACCGTCACTGAAATGTGTAATATTATGGACTAAGGCTGCCAGGATTAGTCGACTTGTCACAATTACGCCAACTATCAAAATAATCATTTGTGGCAGCCCTATTATGGACCATGCACAAAGTCAAATGTGGATAATGCCAGCACCACTAACTGCCTCTCCTTACAGGTTTAAGTCCACATAACTGCACTGAACAGGTTTATGCATCACCATGTTTGAGTGCTCGCATGCTACGTTTATTCGAAAAGCCTATTTTCATTTTCTGGTTGCAGCAAACCTGCCTTCCCCCACATTTTTCCACTGGTGCATAGCAAACACCACTACTTGCTTTCCTTTTAGATGCTTCTTTAAACCAACTTAATTATTGCATTTTCTCCACAACTATGAAATATGAACATCATTATCAGTTAGACGTTTTAAATAATATTAACATATTATAACACAATATATTGAAATCATAATTAGATTCATGTAAAGTTTGTAAATTGTGAGCATGACAAGGCTGTTAGTTATAATTTGGTATTAAGAGATGAACATAACAGTCACTTGGCTTCTTGTTTATGTGGCCAAGAATTTCAGGGCCACTTAATCAAGTCCTTGGACACAGATTTATTTGTTATTGTTTTGGGGAGGGGGAGCAAGGGGTAGAAGAAGCTACTAAACTACCCATTAATTCACTGTTAGAAATATTGTTCCAATGCAGTGCTTTGTCACATGCTTACAGAATGTCCTTATCAATCAACTAAAACTGAAAAAAGTAGCATATCCTTTGATGGGTATACAACAGTTCCATTAACATAAGGGTCTTTCTCACACTGCTACCACAGCACCTGTGGTAGAAACTATAGAGAGGAATCTGCAAACCAACAACGTCTCCTTGCAACTTCTTTTTAAAACAGTTTAAACAATATGCACACCAATATTTGGCGTTTTCTGCTAACTAGCTGAAGCTAACCCTTGATACCCTGATAAGTGTTTCTTCTTCTTGTCAATGTTTTCACCTGGTCAAAGTTTCATGTCAGGACTTTGAGGCTAGCAAAAGAAAGATGTGATGGAAAACACAGCACATGTGGGTGGGGGAAGGCAACAATGGTGGTTTCTACCGCTCAGTCTGCTGGCGATTACATACAACAATCACAAAGCTCTGCATATGCTCTGAGCGCAATTGATCAACTAGTCATTTAATTCCAGTCGACTTCTTTCTTCATACATTTTAATTCTAATAAATGTTTTGGGTTAACAAGGTGCCATCTCAAACCTGCGAACTACCACTTTAAAAACAGAAGTGAGGTGATGGAGAAACGTGCCTCTACACACATTTCCTGATTCTGTATGAGCACGCTCAGCTGTCGAGTACAAAGTGGAGAGGGGTTCACGGTGTTAGATAAAAAAAAAAGTGGTGATAAAACACAATAATGACATTAGTTGCACAGAGATGGGACGTTCTCCTTGGGTAGAGGCTACACCAGATTACACATGCGGCAGCATCGTGATGTGTGCCCTGTAAGCATTAGGATTACACGGCAAACAATTTATAGTCTTAATGAAAAAGAAAATTAAAATTCTTTTACTCACATTGCTCATTTTAAAGCAGAGCCACTGTATGTATCACAAACAGACAATGTTATGACATCAATTTAAAAAAAATTCTACAATACTTTTTAAACAAAATAATCTCATCAGAGTCTTGCAGGAATAAGTAATCACAGGCCACTTTATAAGGTACACTTGTGAAATCTAAAATAATCTAGCCAAATCAAAATTCTGCTTTTATGAAGCGGTGACTTCCTGTTTTTGTTGAGATTGTCAGATAGAGTAAACTTTGTTTTAATTATTCAGGTTGTCGTAGCATGTGGTGGCTAACTGGACTACACTGCACCAAGCTTTTAAGATTTTGCAACAGTAAAACTTTGGACAACCACATTTCTGCTCGGGATACTTCTGGAACGCAGCAAACAAACAGAAAACCTAACACGCTCTCCCCCGCATCGTTATCATGTAATCAAAGAGAAACTGCACAGCATTGTGATTTTGAGGTGGTGTACTCTGACAGCACAGCTGATAGATGGATCAATTCTTGGGTGCTGTGCCCAAAAACTGGAACAACAATCTGGCAGATACGAAGTGTGGCCTCAGTATCGACCACCTTACCAAAGCCTCATTAAGGGTAGCAATGCACTCTGCCCCACCCGGTTCTCCCCATCCCCTACAGTCCCTAACCTGGCTGACCCCATTCACTAAGCAGACAAAAGAAAGAGACACTGATAAAGTGGGAAATTAAACAGACCTGTAGTTGCTGCAAAATTAAGAAACTGAGCACAGATTGCACCTCATATCAAGGCAAGGCAAGGTCAGTTAAAACTTAATTAACGCTGCAGAGTATTAAAAAGTATCAGAGCAGTTACAACACAGCAACTCTCAATAAGAAACCCATAATTTGGTTATACATGTACAATGACAATAAAGTGCTATTCTATTCTAGTCTATAAGGTCACTTTAACAGCACAGACATACTTTTAAGTCACTACAGGAATATTTTAGGACTTCTACAGCGATAGGAGAGGAGATAAAAATACCATCAACTAGGATAAGGTCACTGTTGGATACCAGAGACAGACTGGGAACAAATGCAGTGGAAACACTCAGATGTAGTTTTCATTATCTTTGAACCACACAGAAAACATCCACCTGTGTTACCATCGTGTTATTTTTCCAGCTAACAACTTGTAAGAATTAAAACAAGAATAACAACAGCAAAAAGTCCCTTTTTATTGGTTACTCACAAAGCTGCGGTGTCTCCTGGCTGCCTGGGAGCCAGTCATGTTTCAACAGGAAAGCACTGCGCCCCGCTGACGATGCCCACAGAGATTCCCACAACACCAGATTTTTCCCAACTCAGAGCCCCGATAACCGCAGAGACACAGAGAGGGAGACAGCAGGAGGGGGAAGCCACTGATCCCAGTCAAGCCTGCGACAGGCAGACACACCCAAACCGGAAACCAGACGATAGGCTTTCATAATAAAGGCTTCCTGTCGGCTCCGTTCTCATTGTTGCCAACACGGAGGAAAACGCTACAAGCCGCAAGTATCGAACTTCGTACAAACCTTTAACGCTTCCAGAGATGCCCCTAACACTTTATTTGGTACTGCTTAATCTTTTGCCAATCAACGTCAGCGCCTATGAAGATATTAGAAAAATGCCAATCACAGTACCACATAGCACAAATGATATGAGGTGTTTATTTCTCTGTCCACATATACAAACATTAAAAAATTAAGGTCTTAGACCCCCCCCCCCCAAAAAAAAAAAACAAACAAACCAAAAAACAAATTATCAGCACTTTACAACAAAAAATGTTTTAAAATGCTGATTAATTCCCTTTTAATCCCTGTGATGTGAAATGAGCCCTTGTATTTACTGTTGCCTCTACTGATTTAGTATTTCAGTGCCTGCTGGTCAAGAATAGATCACCAGAATTCTCTGGCGTCTTATCACCCACATGCTTCTCTCGTGCAGTATAAGCCTTATCACCATCCAGCTCTCTGCTGCAACTCAGATGAGTCATAAGAATCTGGTGGTAGTTCTTGCATATTTGTACCCATGGAATATGGGGGTAAATGTGTGACAGAAAAAGCGCAGGGGAGATAAGTTGCAAAAGACCTCCAGGATACACACAGTCTTCCATAAAAAAATAAAATGAATAAATACAAATAAAAACTTTGCAGCTAAAATATTCAGGACATTAAATTTTGTAGTAAAGATTTGATTTTCAGTGGAACAAGGCTTGAGGTCTATTAAAGAGTGCCTAGAAATTTCCACTATAGTCACTTCCACTTTAAAAAGCAGAGAACTATAGGTATACTTTTTTTTAACAGCCCTTTGGTGATTTCTGTTTATTTTAATGTGCTATATAAATAAACTTGAAATTAACAAAAAAAAAGAGGAGAGTCAAATTGACCAATTCTGCATATACATCATGCTCATTTTGTGGCTTTTATGATTAAGTCCGCTTAAGTTCTCCATTTTAGTTCCATTCTAATTTTGAAAATCCCGACCGGAAGCTCAAATGGCTACATTGTCACTACCTTCACACCGGAGGTTCTGTTAGTCACGAGGGGCGGACTCACGAGGCCCTTATTTGGAAGCTGAACGGGTGAAACCTCTGAGTGACAGCTGGGGGAGCCAATAGACAGGCTGAAGACAAACTACTGTTGCCTGCCAGAACCAGCAAGCAAAGTACTGTAGTTTTGTTCACCGTTGGGCCTGAATATTCTTAGTACAGTCTAATTACCTACAGTCATATCGATACTTCTCACACACCAACAAAAAATACACATCAAGGCGCAAATAAAGCCCATTACTAACACTCATTAACAGAGGCGTGTTTGACGTAGAAGATATGCTTGTTTACGATTTACCAACCAAGTGTGAAACAACCATCTATCATCCGGTCTAACAAGGCAGCAAAAAGCTATTGAGGATCTACGTTTTTTGGCAATCCCGTGATATTTTTACATGTACTTAAAGAAAACAACCCAACAAAAAACAGCCCCCTTCTACTTACACTTTCCGTCACCTTCTCGTTGACTGTAGGTAAAGGAGTTTTTGTTGACATCTTTTATTCCTTCTTCCTCAGCCAGTCGCCGTTTTAAGTCCAAAATACACACAGTCTTCAGCCCGACAGCCGAAGAATGAAATTATTGCTTTGCTTTTCGGCTCCCTCCGGAGAAACAGTCTCAGCATGGATCGTGACAATTTTCAAACGAGACCAGACGTGTTAGAGTCGAGCACCTGAACAGCTATGGGCAGAAAAAACCCTCACTAAAGAGCATAATAATCCCTCTTACAGCATTTACACGGCGTGTACAAACCGTGCATGGCCTGTGCTAAACTCGGCAGGGAAACGAAATCAGTGTCCGTCTGTCCGTTTAGGTTTGAGTCACTGGAGCTAACTATAATAACGTTAAGGCGCTGTCGGTCGCCACTTCCAAAAATCGCCACAGGCTTTTCTTCCACAAAACCACTCTGTCTAGAACCGTGCCATGGCGTCGAGTGCCACCTCTGGATAATTCTCGGAGTGATTCAAAAGATTCGGGTAGCTGAAATACTCGCCGTCGGCTCGGTTTCTTCCATCTCCGGCGGCCCAAAGTGAAGCGGGTCTGTCTGTTTTAGGTGGGACCAAAATGGCTACTCAGCGGCTGGGCTGGATTATGCTGCCTTCACGGACACCAACTGAGCTCCGACATTAGAAACTATTCTAAAATGTCGGTCAACCGACCTAATAATGGCATTTCTTTGTTCGACTGGGTGATTCAACAAAGATCAAAGAAAATATTTTTTCTCTTAGGAATAAGATTGAAGCTTTTGTGTGCAATATACACTACTTAACAACCTTAATAAAAAGTAAGAGATTGTCATAGGATTTAGCCTGCAGTTAAATCATTTTTATTAATAAATATTTTGTTGATTATTTTCAGTCTCTCTGCAAAGTTATTATGATTTGACCAACATCAAAATGTATTAATTATGCTTATAAAACACATTACATAATATCCAGAGAATATTTCAGAGTGTTGCTAAACAAAATACTTGATTTAAAAAAAAAAAAATTACTTTTGTGAGGAACTGAGCACTAATGTGGGGAGACTTTTTGACGAAAATCTGTATTTTGAAATCAAAGAGTTTTTATATGCCGCAGAAGAAATAACAGTAAAAAGTTACATGTATCATGTCTATAATACATTGGTTTTCTGTTCAAGTGTGTTTTCTAGTACTACAACTCAACTGTAGCAATCAGAAATTGCGTTACAAATACTAGTTGTTTTTTAAACCTCACATTATCTGAATTAAATTAAAACAATAACAGTGTGGGATAAAGTTATATAGTCAGCTACATTTATAAATGTTTCTGACGTGTTTGTGGTAGTTTAAAAACATTAGAATCAGTTTACATTCTACAAATAGACACATTACACATGGTAGGTGTTACTGCTTAGTTACATTTTTGTAGGTCGGACTGGATGTTTCAAAACTAAACTGCGGAGGGATTTAGGGTTAAATGTCTTAGACAATAAGGAGTTATTTTTCTAAGCCTTGCTTATTTTCATGTTTGATTTCATACACTAAGACGACGCCAAGTTCCCCGTTTTGGGTTTAATGTCGAATTCAGAGATTTGTTTGTGATGGAATGTGGGTATCTTATTTCCGAAAGCACCTGAAGGCAGCACGACTGTGTCCAGTTGAACGGGTGGAGGAAGTGAGGAAACCGACTGACCTCAGTCCCACAGGACCACAAGTACAGAGAGGCCTGTCATCAGTCGGGAGGAAATGGGAATTTAGTGAGCTTCAAAGGAAAACAGTTGTGCGCCTTTGTCAAATATTAGCGAGACAAAAGAATATCAACACCATCTTTTTATTCTTCGAATTCAATTCGAATAAATGAGCGCTTTAAAGGTCGCTAGTATCTTTTTGTTTGTTTTACACAAAGTCTTATAGGTTTCATACAGGATACAACATTTATAGGTCGTAGAAATAACTTTCGGATTTCTAGGCTGTGAATTTCTACACCACAGTTTAAGTTTAAGCTAATAAGTTCACTGTTTCCACTGCTGGAAAAGTGCAATATAATAAGTTTGTCCGTGACATGCAGCTCTAAATCAGTAAAACGGAATAAACAGTAAAGCTGTCAAGTGTAATTAAGGAGTTTTCGTTTTACAAAGCATCCGTCTGCAGGTTTTTCAGCCTAGCAACAGTTGTTCTTACCAGTGTTTTAAGTAAACCAGTCACAAATATAACACCATCACCAATGTCACCTTATTCAAAGTTCTATTTCAATGTCAGATGAGGAAGAGTGGTATAAAACAAAGCTCAGTATAACTGGATTAAAAACCACATTAGTTACATTCTGGCCTTTTATCTCAAAAATAGACTAAGTTTTATGTGAAACTGCCATTTGGGTTCCTTACTTTGCAAATTAATTCTCAGTCAGTTTCCAGGTCTCTTTCTGTAACATGAGGCGAACGTGTATGTTTAGTTTAGTACGACCAGCGGCGTTACAGATAGTTGATCTAGTGTTGTTTGAACTTTGGTTTCATATTACAAAACATGGACACATGCATATTTTCCCTCCCTTGCAGAGCTGCAGTGCAGATTTTTAAAAACACATACATCATCATGCTCTGAAGATAAATCTGATCACATTTTTTTCTTTTTAATTAGAGGATTTAACAATTACGTTATTTTATTTAGGATATAGAAAACTTCTGGCTTCACAGCACAACATTTAAGGGAAGAGGTTTCCCCTCAGATTCTCTGTTAATCACCTACCAGAGAACAACTGTCCAATCTCACAGATGAAACAGTCAAATGTGCTGGATAGCAAAACATTCATTCTTTATTGACTGGAAAAATACAAGGACCAAAAGAAGAAAAAACATAAGTGCAGTCAAAACAAAATTCCCAAATCACCCGTGATTAAAACCCCCAAAAGCGACTTCATTTCATCAACTGAATACACTTCAAAATGACAGCGTTAATGTGCAGCAGATAAAGCGCTATGTTAAATCATGCCACTAAGCAGAGAAGGGATCGCAGAGAGGGCTGGTGGTGGGACAGGTAGTAAAGGAGGGAAAAGGCCAGCCATTTAGCTAGTACAGGGCATCGTGAGTCAAAGCCGCAAGTCAGGAAAAGCATCATCGCTCGAGTCTCTCAGATCGCATCGATGTCAATGTCGTCCTCTTCTTTCTCTGGCGTGTCTGGTTTCACAGTCTCCACTTTGAGCTCGCGGGCAGAGGACGAGTACACCACCTGAGGACAGGAAAACATGCAGCTGCTCAATAAACACCCCCGGCTGCATCAGCATCAGTCCTCTCACAACAGAGACAAATCTGTCGCATTTTAAAAATTAGT